ATATTTTCAAGAAACATGATAAAATGCCACATATGTTCACGAGACGTGTTCAGTGAACATATATACCATTATTCACAAAAAACGAAAACATAACATTTTTATTTAATTTCATTATTAAAGAAACGGTTACGAAAACCCTTGCGCACAATAATATATTTTTATTTAAAGATGTGTCTTGTTTTGCACACAATGTTTGGCGTCACGTAAACAACTATTTAAACATCTGTACAGCGTTAATGACTGAATTAAAGATACTGGTGTTCGGATTTATTTTCTTAGTCAGACCATTTTCTATCATTTTAGATACTTTTCAAAATAAAATTCAACAAAAATTGTTTTGTTTCCAATTTTGTAAACAAAATGTCGAAATAAGTCCCTTATAAATAAATATGTGTTTTGACTCTGCCCACTTTTATATTTATATTTCATATTTATTTTTTAGCAAATATGAAATTATTTGACTGATATAGCATCTTATCACATATCGCAGGAGTGTAATAAAGCCATTTAATAAAAAACGATATTCCACTAGCCGATATTACACTATAGTCTGTCCCATCAAATTTGAACATTCCATTTTTTTTAATATAAAAGTAAAATCATTTAAAAATTTGTGTCATTGGTTTTCCCTTTTCTCCCAAAATCTTCCCAAGGGAATGTTTTTTCTCTTTTTTTTATTTATCGAAATATGGTCCCAAAATGTTAAAAAATATTTTTTTTCCCCTTAAATTAACGTTTGTTAACCCTGGGGGTTTACGTCCATTTTAAAAAGGCGGGCCCAAATATAAAGTCAATTTTTAAAAGGGGTTTGTCTCATTCAATTAAATGGAAAAAAAGGTAATTATAAAAATTTTTAAATTTTTCTTTTTTAAACCCCTTTCCCGATCAAAACCCCAAAAAGTTTATCATTTAATGAAACTAAACCCCCGCGAGGGCGGGGGTTCCCCCTTGTAAACAATTTTAGTTTTGGAAAAAAAGGGCCCGGACCCCCAAAAGAAACATGAAAAAATAAACAAGGGGAATAACTCAAAAAATAATAAGTGCAGAGCAGCAGTTTCTGTGCACTGCACTTCTTATCAATAAGATCTATCATTCTATGAAGTTTCAAGTCCATATCTTTTATAATTTATGAGGAATAGCCTGGATAAAAATAAAGTATGAAAATTAATAAAGGGTAATAACTCACAAATAAGAAGTGCAGAGTACCGGTTCTTGTACACTGCACTTTATCTTAATGAGATCTATCATCCTATGAAGTTTCATGTCCATAGCTTTCATACTTGAGGAGAAATGACCAGGACAAAAATAAAGTAAGAAAATCAACAAAGGGCAATAACTCAAAAAAAAAAATGCAAAGTATCAGTTCTTATGCACTGCACTTCTTCTTAATGAGATCTATCATCCTATGAAGTTTCAAGTCCATAGCTTTTATACGTTCGGAGAAATGGCCCGGACAAAAAAATTAAGTATGAAAATTAACAAAGGGCAATAACTCAAAAAATAAGAAATGCAGAGTACCTGTTCTTGCGCACTGCACTTCTTCTTAATATGATCTATCATCCTAAGAAGTTTCAAGTCCATGGCTTTTAAACATTAGGAGAAATGGCCCGGACAAAAATAAAGTATGAAAATTAACAAAGGGCAATAACTCAAAAATTAGGAAGTACAGAGTACCGGTTCTTGTGCACTGCACTTTTTCTTAATGAGATCTATCATCCTATGAAGTTTCAAGTCCATAGCTTTTTTAGTTGAAGAGAAATGGCCCGGACAAAATTAAAGTATGAAAATTAACAAAGGGCAATAACTCAAAAATTAAGAACTGCAGAGTACCGGTCCTTGTGCACTGTACTTCGGGTAATTGAAAGAAGCATACATACCAAGTTTGAAGTCAATCAGACTTATAGTGACTGAGTTATGCTCCGGACAAGCTTTAGGAGACGCCGACAACGACGCCGACGCCGCCGACAAAAGATACCCCTATATGTCGCCTTTTCAAGGCGACACAAAAATGAGAACAACGTTTGTGTCAAAAAGGCAATTTTACTAGCAAACCATTATTTTAAATAATCAAAATTATTTGAAGTGAAAATATCAGAAAACGCTTTATAAATTCGAACACACAAAGATTTAATTAATTACCATGATATTCTGTCGTATTATATATTATTTAAGAGAAAAAGAACAATAAAGTGATTTGATTAGATAGCTTTTCAATCAAGCGCGTATCTTGAATACCGCAATGCGTCGTAGGAGAGCGGGAAAAATAGCTAAAAGACTATAAAAATGCTTCTTCGCTAATTAATGTTTAATTTACATCATTCTGTAGTTCTGTAGTTGTTTGGATTCTGACCATTAGTATGTTTCACGTTTATTAAAAAAAAATTACCAGGTTCGATGGGGTACAAACATACGTTACCCTTCTTATATCGGGTGCGATGTTCGTGCGCTAAAACTTTCCGTAGGTTTCACAGGAAATCGCCAACAGATACTACATTATCGCGTTCGAAGAAATGTAAATCATAAGTATAACATCATGCTTTCTAGTTTGAGCAATCAAACGTAGGCCTATACACTATGCTCGTAAATACAGATTTAAATTTCCATCTCACAATTCAACAAAATGTCCAGAAATACCGGCAGTAATTTGATATTAATAAGAATAAGTTTGAATTGGAGCGTTTGAAATAAGCGACAATAAGTGTGTTTCTTTTTTGTAGGCTCAAAGTGTAACATTTAATTATAATGTTAATAAGAATGATTGGTCGAGTCAAAAAAGAGACACCGATTGACGTTCTCAATAATTTTAGCCTTCCTAAAATTTGAAAATATTCAGTGAAAAAACAATAGATCTAGCATATTTTTCGCGGGAGAAAAAATACCGCGTATTGTATATTTTGTAGCTCAAAGAGTAACATTTACAGATGTCTTGAATAACGAGATATTATATAGGGAAATCATTTCTGAGAAATATATAAAATAGTTCAAAAACATAAAATCAAAACGAATGTTATATGTAATTAATGGAAGAAGTATTGTACTGTTGTAGATTCATGTCATTTAGTGTTATTAAAATTATTTATATGTTATCAAAAGTTTTATTAATACATGAATTGAAGGTGCAATTTTTACAGTTTAGTTGCAAAATCTGGATACACAAAAATGATTTTAATTACCACCAAGACAAATTTATCTCAACGCTTAAAATTATCTATTTGAGGTTACATATGCCTAACCGCCCTCTGTCAATGCCGCAACTGGAATCATCTATAAAAAAGCGAGGCATTTTTGTTATGTCATATATTTCGTAAATTGTTGTTGACGTAATAATTTTTTTTTTCGTCAGAAATCCATTTTCAAGAGTTATAAACATTGTGGTGTTGACAAATAAAATTAATGGGCCGTTCTTGAATTATGGATTTGGTACATACTGAATTATGATGTGTTTGATTTACATATTTCATTTTCTAACCCAGATAAATCCACAAATTGAACAATGTTTTCATAATGAGACGGATTAACAGTTTAAAAATCTGGATCATCATAAGGTTAGGAGTCATGTCATTCAGGAGTTGAAGTAAAAATATGGAATCTATAGGAACTGGATAGAAACTTGCAATGAAGGAATCTCCAGAAAGCGAATTTGTCCTGACGTTTATACTTTAAGATCTATTTCGAAATTCATAGGGATTCTATTCAGCTTTTAAAGTAAATACAATTTCTAGATCTACTCCATGAGACTCGTGTTTTTGTTGCCTATTTTTCATTTTTTTTAAGTTTTCAGTCATGCATTGCAACTAACATGTTACATCTTGTAGATACAGCTTAGTAAAATAATCATGAAACTACCCCGAAAACCTTATGTATATTTAAGAAGAAACATGACATGTGCTTTCTCCCGTTCATCTTCAAATAAAGAGTACTTCGGCAATGGCTACGGAAAATAAACAACAGAGATTTACCAATGAGAAATCAAAATTTGCTTTCACAAGAAAAGTAGACACTTTAGAGTAAAAACCTGAAAAATCTCGAGGGTGACTTTTTTTAGTTTACAAAAATAGTTTAATTTGTATTCAACCTCTTTTTGTTAATTCACATCAGGCAAAAGTTCATTTCCATTTTTAATGGGACAGACTTAGTGTAATTACACTTTGACGTCACGTCATTTGCGCTATTAACATAGCGTTAAAGTGCGCTTATGTTAGTGTTACACTACAGGCGCTCAAAGAAAAATGACTCTTGTTAACAGTTAACCGTTCTTATTTTAAATATGTGATTAATAGAATAATATATTTTTGTAGATTCAATACTAAATTTATTGAACTCGTTGAATAAAAGTATTAAACATACACTCATTCAATATCCTCTATATATTTTATTGGTAAAACTAAATAATGTTCTGTACCTATACTTAAAGACACAAGTAACAATTCCATATCTGACATAATATTTATTTATCAATTAAAATCTATTCTCAAAATCTTAATAATATTTATCGGTATTTTCATTGATAAGTATAACAATAGAAATAATAAAAAAAATCATTAACATTAATTTATAGTAAAATAGAGAAAAATGGAATATCTAAAGGAAGCCCTACACGGCAAAAAAAATGATGTTGCAGGCTCGGTTTGATTTAGCTTGTTTATCGGGGGTACTGGAAAATGCAAGTTACCGTCCACGACCCCGGCTTAAGCAGAATTAAACATTTAAACACGTCAATGGTGAAATCTTGAATTGATAAGCATCCGCAGATACGGCGGTTATCATGGAACCTTCAATGTTAAACGGTAGTTCCATTACACGAAAAGCGGCATACGGTCCCCAAGTAAAAGAATGTGTGTGCCCTAAACGAGAAAACAATGGGCGGAACTAAATAAAATGGAGCTCCGAAAGGGGATTTGAAGTTATGAAGTCTGCAAAGTTCTTTGATTCGGTGTCAACATTCCTCACTGGACACTGCAATTGTGGAAAAGAAAACACATCAATAAACAAGATAACGGTAGGATGTACGTCTTTATTCAATAAGCATGAAAGATATTAGACTATTAAAACATTTTATAACTTTTTTAACACTCAACACATGCAAGAGAGTATGAACATCACCATACACCAATACAGATTAAAATATGACGATGAAAGCATCGATCAAATAAACTGAAAATAGAAATCATTTCCATAATGTACCTGTGTTTTACCTTAGAGTCAATTTATCATGGAAGAAAAAGAACAATATTTTTAATTTCATACACAATAAATTCATGTGCTGAAGATGTCGTTTAGATAGTAAATACAAATAGGAAATTTCAACAATAATATACTTACGATGATGAAATTATTTTCTAAATGACTTGATTTGATATAATTCAATTATGATATGTCATAAAAGGGAAAAAATTTAAGCAACTAAAGCAACGAGCATACACATAACGAACCGGCAGATATGTTACAATTCATTAGTTTACAACCGCGGTGGTATTTTTGACATTTATTCACAGCAAGCAAAATTAGCTACAGTACAACTCGATTTTTTTTTAAAACGGCGTCAATAAAATACATGATATTTTGTCTGTCGACTTCAAGAACAAACTCCAAAGAGTGCTTGCAATTATGAATAAGAAACATGTCGATAAATACCTTAAAAGTTTTTTTTTTAAAAATCTGATTTTCTTATTTCAATAGTAATTTGTTGGGTTATTTTTGAAATAACAAGGAAATATTTTCTTGATTCCTTCACTAATATTCCATGCGTGACATATCAAACATTGTTAAACCTTTCCGATTGTTTATTACATATTGAAAACGTTTGTTGTTTAAATATTCATAAAAAAGTCTTCTCTTGTAAACATGAATTAAAGATAAATAAATAAATTGATAAATGCAAACCCTACAATAAGACGGCGATACTATCCCTATCATGATTCAAAATGTACTGAACTGATACACACAGTTTAATATAAATTGTGTGCTAAAGTACCATGTTTTATTTTGTTTTTAATTGTGTTGAATTTGTTCGTTTTACTGATTTGAACAGTTATAAAACTATCAATGAACAGGCGAAAAAAGAAGTGGCTTTAAAATTGCGAGTATATCATTTATATTCAAGGCAAAAAAGTCACAGTTTGTTATTCATGTCAAACTTTAAATACGAAGGATCACTTTGTTTTTAGTTTTTTTTTAACAAGATCATGTCTTAGTACGCATTAATTTGTGCAGCTAAATATGTATATATTTATAATAAGATTAACAAATTTTCGGCAATTAACATGTTTTATGAAAAGCAAATAAACATCACATTCGCATGTAACACAATACATTAAGTAAACTACACCACTATATCATAGTTATACATGTATAATATATACAAACATTTTGTAATATATATTTACAATAACACATAATAGTACATATATTTTTTATCTCTAATAACAACAAATAAGTCCAACCTTATACTTCAGAATCTCTCGTCGTGACCATTGTAGTAACAGTTTGCATTTTGCGCCCATTTGCAATTGAAAAACATCGGAAAAACACGGATATGAACGTGTCCCGGAATTGCTTGCTCATTGTACAGTACAAAACAAAATTTATACCATTATTGATCAAGGCAAGAATGTCTAACAAGTCACCTAGTGGTGTGTAGATATGATGAAAAAAGTCTTGTATTAGGCCACTGAGTAAATTCATAATTCCTTGCGGAGTTTCCGTTACTAAAAATAGAATAACAACCGTAAGAAGCATTCTGGTAGTTCGCTGAGAACGGCGAGATCTTTTCGAGCTTGTTCCTATGGGCTGCGTTTCTCCGTCTGCGACAGAATTTTTGGTCATCATCTTTTTGCGTCTATTTTCAGCATCCTGCATTGTTCTGACGAGAAGGACGCTGAAGATAGTAAGCATGAAGCACGGCAGTAATTTTACAAATATAGCCTGTACCCAAAAATTAAATTTTTGTAAAACGACATCCGTATTAGTGTTATTTTTGACGTCAATCCACCAGAGTGAATCATTACTATTGTTGAAGCCATGAAGAACTGCTGGCTCATTTTTCAACTCATAAGATATTGAATTTGGTATGCAGACTATAGTAACAACCACAGCCACGGCTATTACTGCAGTTTTCGCTTTTTGTACGTTACAATACTGGGCTCCTATCCTCGGAAAGCGTATGAAGACGTAACGGAAAACAGCGAGTGTAACTGTTAACCAAATAGCTATAGAATGAACAATTACACTTACAATGGCATAACTGAGTTGAAACTTTGCGCATCCTTCAGTGTCCCTCTCTGGACTAACATCAATCCCATGTATAACATACATCTGCAGCGCCCATGGGAAATAAAAAGCCATAGTTAGCCCATCCGATATGGCTAAGCCGGTAAGTATTATATTTGTAGATGAAACCATATTTTTCCTTGTAAGCACTATGATATTTAGAACGTTAGCAATTACTCCAAATACACATACACTTGCTGCTAAGTACCCGTGAATAGGTTTATATTTTGCTTCAAACGTACGTAAAGCCGGTGATGGCGGGGTATCTGAAATATAGTTTCCCATAGTTGCTGTTGAATTCTCATAGTAAAAAGTAGTGAACGCTTCATAAGTGACATTGACGTAATAACCAAGTTTGTCCATAATATATTCAAACAATTATATGAAACTATTGGTCTTTTTCACTTAAAGACCACACTTCAAACAGTGAATTTAATAGCCTGGTAGAGTTTTGTTAAATCTCGGAGGCCTTACACAAAAGGAAACAAAAGAGATTTGAACGTGCGTGATCTGTAATTTCTTTTTATCACAATTACAGAAAAATAAATTGAACACTATATTCAATTATTACGAAATAAATTAAGTTCGTGTGAAACGCAATCACAAAAAGGATTTCACAGCAGGATAATCCTTAAACTGACAGTAAGCCGTCAGCCGGACGTGTTGTCCCTTCCTTCGTGTAATCCTTCACACAAAGAAGCTTTTATCCAATCTGTAAGTAGATATAAGAACAATATATAAGTTAAGCATGAAAGCTATTTCATAAATGCTACAGGTAGCTGAAATAATTGCAACGGTCTTTTATTAACTAACACTAATAAGACATACTAATGTATTTCAGTGATAGCTTGATTAGGATATTACAACAAGCAAATCTTGATTAGAAGTAAGCTCGAACACGGGCTAATCTGATTTGTACGAGGGAGCCTAGCCCCCGAGTATTAATCAGATTGTCGAGTGTTTTGATGCTCTTTCTCTTTTGTATCATAGTCAAACATAAAAACACGTTCCCTGTTGTTTGAAAAAAAAACACCAAAGAACGAGGATTTTAATATGATATTTCTGTCGTTTTTCCTTACTCTACTGTCACAATAAGTAAACCTTAGCAAAAATGAGCCAATCAATACTCATTCTCTGGGGTGCGGGAAACTAATATTTGCACCCCAGTTAACGCACTGTGCATGTATATGTATACGATTTAACTCGATTTAGACATTTTCAACAGAAAGGTCCCCAAACTATGATACAAGAAGACTAAAGTCAACTACACATAATATGAAGCTTCGCATCATGGAATACCAGCATTGTAATAGTAAATTTTGTATGCCACTCCTGTATTTTTTATTTTATTTGTTTTTCAAAATACAGGAACAGGAAACACCGCAGACAAAGTTACATCTTGATTGATTTATTTTTTTGCAATACATTGAGTTCATTTTTTGTTTTGAAAATCAAAGCCGGAAATTCGTAAGAAAATATCATTTCTGTCTAAAAATCTATTGCAGATAAATGACAATGATGCTCGTTGGTAGGCAACAGATATGATTAATGATCTAAATAAAGCATGTGTCTGTGTGACGGTGAGTTGTATAAGAAATATGATTATTTTGTGTGCGTGTGTTTTCGTATACGCCATTTCATTACATATGTAATCATGTCGGCGGCCGGTCCACCTCACCGGTGTCCTAGATAAATAACCAGTATTTTGTTAGTGCTAAGCAATTAACAAACTACTTATGCCACATAATTTCGGAATTAGCAATTGGCTAATGAGCAAATGTCTCTATGACAAGAGATTAATTGTCATAGGGAAAGGTCACTTTTTCAGCGACCTCTGGATTGCAAATCTAATGTTCTTCTATTCCGTTTCTTGTATACTTATCAACATTTGCTTGCGGAATTTAGAAATGTCACGAATAAATGAATAACTTTTCTTGATTTTAATATATTACATATTTGTTCTAGATTTTTGTATTAAAATTATTTACATGTATTTACAAATCTGATACTTGTCAAATGCATTTCAAATAACAGAATATGATTTAAATAAAATGAATGTGTTTAGATTTGGAGCATCATATCTAATAATAACAAGTTGTGCTTTAAGTATCTTAATTCAATATTTGAAGTTGCTTGTCAATCTGTTGAGTATCCAAGTAACTAGGGTGAAGTAACTGTAACTTGACATTTTGACGAAGTAAGCAGAAAAAGACTCGGTAACAACAGTCCGAACACAATACCTTACACGTGCTCGGATCGTCGTTATCGAATATCTGTCGCTTTGATACTGGCTTGTTTGTCACAGATTTTAACATCCAGAACGTTTTTATCAGTAACGTCAAAACTTCATTCTGAGGCGGTGCTAGCGGACGCGTCATCCGCACATCAGGAAGAGCTTGCAACAATCCGAGTTCTTACAAAGTCTGCAAAACATGATATATTTTCATGTTTCGTCGACCCTTAACTCGACTCTTAATGTTTCATCTTCTGATCCGTTTTTATATTTATTGACGGATGTCATTAGCTGGTGTGGGTTCTGATACTAGATGAATTGTGCTTGAAGCTGCCTAAATGTTACATATCTCCTAATGTTTTTCCTTGGTCGGGTTTAACGTCGCATCGACACAATAGTTGTCATATGGCGACATTCAGCTTTATTGTTGAAGAGATACCTTAGGTGCCCATCCTTGTATTATGTCAGGCACGACCGGACACCTGAGTAGAACCGCCGATGTTCCGTATGTTAGCTAGATAACTTCTTCACATGAAATAATCCAATGTCCCTGTCAGGACTACCTCGCCAATGTCACTAAGTGTCAATGCCCTTTCATTCCCATCAGTTATAATTATCCTTATTGATATTCATTCCTTAGCCTTTGAATGTATACATTGTTAGACAATTTCTAAACGCTGATTTCTGTAGCTGCTTCTTTTGATTTATGTTCGAACAATCTCGTACTAATTGCTTTTCGTTTTTGTCTAGTCAATGTCAAAGTTCTTCGATACGTCCGCAATGCTTTTGTTGTACTGTAGACATTCCGCATGTAACGTTTCTCTGTTGATTGATGTTTCAATGCAATTTCCAACTTCATTTGTACCATTTTGTTATGCAAATTACTGTTCCAAGACTTGTAGTGTAATATGAACAGACGCATCATTGCAATATCATTCAAGAATAAAGGCTGTTATTGACTTAAAATCCTATATTTGGTTATCCAATTCGATCTCACTACATTTTCATGGGGTTCAATGCAATTTTAACTGCATTTAACAGTATTTAATCATGTTTTCTGTTTCGTTTATAAAGCACGTAATTTATAAAGTAAATCATACATTAGTGTGCACATTTTGGAAGAATTTGTTACATTAAAATTAAGATTCTTGAATACAAAATATCAAAATAAAAATGTCTGAATAAATAAAGTATCAACAATTTAATCACATGACGTTTTAAACACACACAAAAAAATTCATTATACAACTGTATTATTTGGAAATGTGTTGAAAAATACAAAATAGTTTCTTAAGTTATTAAAACTATAATTTCAATAGTGGAAATGTATTGTTTTAAATCACATTGACATTGATCTATTGGCAATGCAACAATTTAAAATTATTTGATCAATAAACTGAATATGCAAAAAAAAATCATAGTATATAACAGGGATATGAATATTCATTCATAAAAATACAATGATTGTATCATTTGCCTATCACAAGTCTTGTACCTCTAAAACAAAGACGTTTGCCGCCATTGCTTATCTTTAGCATTATTTCCTTGACATAGGTTAAGCATATGTTAAAAATCTGTCTGATATTATTACCATCTTTCTATGCATGTGAATAGGTCTAGAAAGGCACAATTGAACAAATGTATTTATAATAATAATTGCCTTTATACGAATATATATGTATAATTTATTTTTAATCATGTTGTTGCATTTATGTGACCTGATTCTAAATAAAAGTATTTGTTAGTCTTGTTGGTGTTGTTGTAATAACGATAAACATGTTTTTAATTGTTCAACATTTTGGTTTTGATAGTACAATATTTCAAGTATCTTGATATTAAGGCGTATATATTTTTAAGTGAATTAAGACAATTTTAGGAAAGTGTAGAAGGGAAATCAATATCAAATCATACAGCTTATATGTAATACCTTTACACTTTATTTCACTTTGAGGTGTGTAATTATTTACAAACACATATGTCATAATTATAGTTTCGGTTTCAAATTTTACGATAAATTCTAATTGAAAACATGAACCTCCCCTAAAATCAAAAGCAGTACGAACTAAAAGTACAGCAGTTAAGCCCAAAGTGTGTGTATAAATGCATCATATATAACAAATCTGAACATTTGTCAATAAAAGAAGAGAAATTCTGTCAGAGGTAGTAATAAAGAAAGTAAACAGACGATCTAAATGATGCTCCTTAAGTAAACACAAGTAATTAGACAAATGACATACTGCCGTATAATAACATCGTTTTATATCGTTTTCCATGCTTTATTGCATGTTGCTATTCCAAAGAAGACAATTTTGAGGCACTTAATTGCTTGTTTTATAGATTTCAGATACGGTTTAATGATCGGGCACAGACGTCGTGCTAAGCAGACTATTTGATTGTTTTTTCCTCAACCTTCGCACTCAATATAGCATTATCCAGGCGATAAAGCAGAAAAAAATCTAGGTATAAAATGATATCATAATTGTTACCCATTTACGCTTTAAGCTTCCCATATGAATAATTCGTACAAGTCAATTGCATCATCGTTAGATGAATAAGTCAGACTGCCTTTTGTAAGTAAATATTTCCTGCTTATAAACACTGTTCACTGATTGTGTAAGTGTAAAAAAGACAAAACGAAAACGTGAAGTTTTGCGGCTTATCTAGCAGCCTGTACACGTATCTGTTCAATGAAACAGTTTATCTCGCAACATTGTGCTTACAGGACAAAATACTATGAGTTTAATCAGCAACCATTGTAAAAACAGGAAAATGTGACGGTCTTATAAATGCTGCTGAAACAGACATTGTTAAATTACTTTGAAGAAGAAAAAAACGATAAAATATGGATAACTTTCTTTATGCTGACTGTGCAATGCATATCAAGAAAGCAATTATGGTCGGGATTGGTCGAGAAGTTAATATACGAATTGCTGGCATCGTGGGTTCAAACCCCGTCAGGGACTAGCCGTTGTTTCATTAAAAAAAGTATACATAAACTCATTGCTTATTGCCTGTTGTTTTCCATGAAACGATTAGAATGTGTGTTACTAAGCTTACATCTTTGTACTAAATAAAATTAAATATTGTTTTTAAGGTCGGAAACATAGACAAAATAGATATAAAAACACATATTATAATTGAATGCTTTATGTGATAAAGTTTACGTATTGGCTCTTTTTCACATACAACTGTTTAATCTTAGTGATTATTGGCATTTCCGAACTAAAAACAGAATAAAATTAAATAAAGGCAAGGCTCACCTTATTTGTCTTGTCAACTTTTCGACAGCGACAGTACGCTTTATAATCTGAAAAGTAGATCGAAGTATACTGTTAGTTCAAAGCCTCCAAAACTGTGCACCAATATTAGAAATTGCATATTGAGAGTAGATTTGTCTATACTTCCTTCTTCCTAAGAATCAGATGTTACGCTTTTTTTCACAATTAAATGAAATATTATCATCGTCGAACGGAATTGTATGATATTTGACACACTAAAGCACAAGCCCTCTTTATTGGTTTCATATTCGT